GAGGAGAGAAAGGGCAGCCATGATGAGGAGAGAAATGGGAGCCGAGAAGAGAGGTGGGCTGTCGGCAGTGAGAAAAAGAAAAAAAGACCGGCTGGCTCTGATACCATATAATGAAAGAGAATGGTGGGAATTTAATGGCTTTCTTTTCATTGATTGAAAAGGTGTATTTATAATATACAACAGAATCTGCTAAGTAAGGAAAATCAAGAAACTAAATCTAATCTAGGAAAGTCAAATAGAAAATCTAATTACAGTTATTTACAATTTAAAATTTAAAACATAATTATCTCTATTATGCCCCCGCAAGTTGGAGCTCCGAGAGGAGAGTCCAATCTTGAGCAATAGTTGGTGGAAGCGCGTGCAAGGTAGAGGTTTAGTGAGTGCGTCTGCTAACTGATCAGTTGAAGCAACATGCGTAACTCTAAGATCTCCATGTTGAACCTGTTCACAGATGAAGTGATAGTCAAGTGCAACATGTTTCATGCGTGAGTGAAACACAGGATTGGAGCAGAGATTTGTAGCACCCACATTATCATAGTAGATGACCGGTTGTTATGAGGAAGAAAACCCGAGTTCACCTAGGAGGGATGAGATCCAGCGCAATTCTGCAGTAGTGGCAGCGACGAAGCGATATTCTTCCTCGGTGGAAGACCGAGCAACTGTGCGTTGCTTGTTTGAGCTCCACGATATAGGATTGCAACCAAGGTATACTATGTAAGCACTGGTAGAGGTGTAATCATCTTTGTTTCTGGCCCAATCAACATCTGCAAAGGCATGGAGAGCAAGTGTGGAGCGATGATGAAGCATGATACCATGATCAATGGTGCCGCATAGATAACAAAGGATGCGCTTGACCACATTCCAATGATCATTTGTGGGCCGATGTATAAACTGAGATAGTTTGTTGACGACATAAGCAATGTCTGGGCGTGTCAAGGATAAATACTGAAGACTACTAACCATGGTACGATACTCTGTGGGATCTGATAGAGCGCTGTCGGAATGCAGAGTTAGAGTAGGCGTGGTAGCCATGGGTGTGGTTACTGGACGAGCATCTGTCATCTTGGTGCGAGCAAGTAGATCAACCATGTAGCGCCGCTGAGAGAGAACCAGTCCCGATGGATTAGAGATAACCTCAACACCAAGAAAATACGTCAGAGGACCAAGGTCCTTCAGAGAGAACCGCTTGGCAAGAATGTCAATAAACCGCTGAACTGCAGTCGTGTTGTTTCCTGTAATAATTATATCATCAACATAGACCAGGATATATAGAGTAACATCACCAGTGTTGCAGATAAATATAGATGTGTCGGCAGTGGAATTGAGAAAACCAGAGGCGACCATGAACTGACGAAGTTCATGGTACCAAGCACGAGGAGCTTGCTTGAGACCATAGATTGTCTTCCTTAATTTGCAAACATGAGTAGGGCGATCAGTATCAATAAACCCCTGTGGTTGTGCCATGTAGACATCCTCAGAGAGGGAGCCCTGTAAGAATGCATTATTGACATCGAGTTGATGAAGAATCCAACCATTGCTGACCGCGATAGAGAGGACAAGTCGAACAGTAGTCGGTTTGACCACAGGACTGAACGTGTCGTGGTAATCAACACCAGGACGTTGATGGAACCCTTTAGCAACCAAGCGTGCTTCGTACCTGTCAACAAATCCATCAGGTAAGCGTTTAATGCGAAAAATCCATTTACATCCCACTATGTTCTGAGAGGATTCTGGAGGAACTAGTTCCCAAGTGCCATTGCGGACAAGGGCATCAAACTCCTCGGACATGGCCTGATGCCATCGATGATCTTTGATAGCTTGGGTTACGGTGGAGGGTTCAACTTCTTGGGCTAGCTGAGTGGAGAGGGTAAGTTTCTGGATAGGCTTGTGGATGTTATTGCGAGAGCGAGTGATGACCATAGAGACCCGAGAAGTTGCAGCTGGTGGGGGTGGTGAGCTACGAGGTGCGACCATATGAGAGGGGGGTGCGGGGGGTTCGGTGGTGGGTTGAGGTAGGTCAGGTGACGATTCGGGTGGCTGAGGCGAAGGAGTTGGGTCCGGGGACGGTGTGGAGGACAGGGAAGGTGGGTTCACAGAGGCCTCGGGGGTTGGGGCGCAGGAGCGAGCCGGGGATGGTGTGTCTGAGGCTGGTAGAAGAAGAGGGATCGAAAGCCACATGGAGCTAGTGGTCTCGTCGGGACGAGGGAGTGTGAGTTGGAGACCGGAAAAAGGAAAAACAGACTCAACAAAACGAACATGACGGGATATGTGAATTTTGGTGGTGGAGGGTTCGTAACACAAGTAAGCACTTTGAGTAAGTGAGTAACCAAGAAAGATACACGGAGTAGACCAAGGATCAAGTTTGTGAGATGTGTAAGGACGAAGCCAGGGGTAGCAGAGACACCCAAAAACACGAAGTTTGGAGTAATTGGGAAGAGACCCAAACAATTTCTGATAAGGAGAGGACATATTTAGTGTAGGAGTTGGGAGACGATTGATGAGATAGGTGGCAGTGGAAAATGCATATGACTAGAAGGATAGTGGCATGGACGCACGAGAAAGAAAAGCAAGACCTGTCTCAACAATATTAAGATGATGACGCTCAGACAACCCATTATGTTCCGGAGTATGTGGTGGTGATGTGTGATGAGAATACCATGTGTGGCGAGGAAGGAAGAGAGACCGGTGTATTCCCCCCCATTGTCAGAGTATAAAGTGACAATTTTCTTCTGAAAGAAATTTTTTACAAGAGGTTTGAATCTCTGAAAGATGGTAGAAACATCTGATTTGCGTTTGAGTGGATAAAGCCAGGTGTAACGAGTAAAGTGATCCACAAAGATAACATAGTATTTGAAATTGTCAATAGAATGAATAGGGGAAGTCCACACATCCGAGAAAATAAGTTGCAAAGGAGATGAGGAAACAAGAGAAGAAGTTGAGAAATGTAATTTATGACTTTTATTGCAATAACAATCTTTACAATGAAACGAACGTGAGAAAGTAGACGCTAAATCCAATTTAAAATTTGAAACAATGTGCCTAAGGATAGACGCGGACGGATGTCCCAGACGATGATGCCAATCAGAAGGAGAGGCTTTGACACTAGAAAAAGCAAGTAAAGGAGCGGAAGTGGAGGAAGAGGCCGGCCATTCATAAACACCATCCCTAGTTTGCCCTTGCAGCAGTGTTGCCCCCGTTAATAGATCCTTCACACGAAAAAGAAGTGGGTAAGAATTCAACAGAAGTTTTGTTAGATTTGCAAAATTGAGATATAGAATCAAATTGCGTTTCATATTTGGAACACAAAAAACATTTTGTAAGTTAAAGGTATGAGAGGATGTGGGTAAGGATGTAAAACCAGTGTGAGTTATATGTAACCCAGTACCATCACCAATCACGATATCGTCAGGACCATCATAAGGGGTATGAAGCGAGAGATTGTTGAGGTTGGCAGTGACATGATGGGATGCACCACTGTCCAATAACCATGTGGGCGATTGTGGTGCTGCCGAAGTGGCGACGTTGGCTTTGGGCTGCCATTGAGTGTGTGGAGGCCGAGGCTGCCATGTGGTGGCTGGATATGGTTGCCAAGGTGTCGAGGGCCAGGAGGCTTGCTAATGTGACGAGGCAGTCAGAACGAGCTGATACAGTGGACATTGGGACACCGTATGGCCCTGGGTTTGGCAACCTTGGCACTTGCCAAGGTAAGGGCGTCGCGGGCGCTGGGATCCAGAGACGAAAGAGGCTGCAGACGGTGGCTGTGGACTGGCGGAAGCTGGCGATCCATTGAGTTTGAACTCGAGTTTGAACTCGAGTTTGAACTTGAGTTTGTGGCTAAAATTTGAGTTTAAGTTTCCTCTTCAACTCAAGTTCTTACAGCCCGTTTTGTTCGTTGATTCGAGTTTTTAAATTGAGGTGAGATGTGATTTTATGTGAGAGCTTTTTACTGTAGTAAAAAAGTTAGATATGACTGTTTATGAGAGTTTTTTACTGTAGCAAAACTCAAATGCTAAACTCGAATCAGTGAAATGAACAGAGCCTTAAGCTCAAACTCAAGTTAATGAACATTATTTTTCTATTTTTAAAAACACCATAACTTTTTCGTTTTAATTCCGATTGAAATGATTTTTTTTCTATGCGTTCATAATGAAAAGATGAATAAAATCTCATCCATATACCCTATTAAAATTTTCCATCACTATTGAGTTTTTATTAACATACTATGTAAATACAAATTCAAGTTTTAACTTATGCAAACACAAACTCAAATAGATTTTTAATTCAAATCATAACATTTACAAATTCAAGTTTTAACTTATGTAAACACAAACTCAAATAGATTTTCAATTTAAATCATAACTCAAATGTGCACATCTAAACACAAACTCAAATAGTAACTCAAATTTAACTCAAAATCTATACTTAAATCACCATATCTCCTTACTTCAAGTAAAAAAAAAAAAAGAAGCCCGGTGTTAGATCATTCAATGGAGTTTGACTTTGACCTGGTCACATAGTAAAATCCGTGTTCTCACTCACACATCACAAAAAACAACCCTACTAAAAGTTACAATAAGTCACAAAAAGCCCTCAGAATTCAGATCTCTTCACCACTCACCAGTCACCACACCACCACCATTGCCATTTGGTTCCAGATTTCCAGTAAAGACAGGCGCGTTCATCGATTGTCAGCCCCACCCGTCGCGCGCTACGCTAGGGGCCTAGGGCCTAGCTAGGCCCAGGCCCAACCCACAGCCCATACTCATCCCTGATCAGATTTCATATCATATCAGATGATGGCAGAGAGCGACAAAACCCTTTTTGCACATGTTTGGAAAAGATCCGGTGGGCCCTCCCTCACTCCAATATTACCTCTTTTAACACCACCTTATTTCTTTTTATAATTACTTTTTCCTTTATTTTATTTGTATTTTTTTTGGGTCTAAAATCTGTTATATAGAGACCCGCGCAAGAGTTCTGCGGACAATAGAGCGAGAAAACGCAGAAGCGACTCTTTAGAGAGAGAGAGAGAGAGAGAGAGAGAGGTAAAGAAATCCACAATTTTCTTGTGTTGGTGTAGTACTTTTGGTTGCCGAGAATATTTCGGAAAATAATTAGCCACTTAAGTTCCTTATTAGTATTTTGCTTCATTTTGTTTTTCTCTTTTAAGTTTTATTGAAAGATTCAGCATTTGCTCTGGAATAACATGTAGGTTTCGTGGGAAAAATAGCTTCACATGCTGATTTCCTGAAATGCTTTGGCTAATGCTTTATGCTACTCTGAGCTGCGTTGCAAAAAAGAAAAAAAATGGAATTTTTATTCTCATTGTTACTATGGTTTTAAGTTTTTGTGGTTTGCTAAGGTAATTTCATTGTTGCTTGATTTATATTTAGTGTTCTTTTGGTATTTGTGCGTTATTATGCAGATTAACGGCTGATTTTTGGCTGTGATGGTAATATGTGAGTTTCTTATTCCTCAAGTTGTTTGCTTGAAGTTTTTTGGTCCAATATTTCTTGATGTTTGTACGGAAGGCAGAGATTTGAAACAGAGCAGGAAATTTTCTCCCTTGTGTTGCTGAGTAAAAAGGGTGATTGACAGGAAAATTTTTGTATTTTTGGGTGATAAGTAAGACAAATATCTCAGGGTTTGAAATGATATTTCATTGGACCAAAAAACTGCTCCTGTTTTTTTTGATATTGATGAGTTTTTCCAATGACTGTTGTATGGAGGCTAAATTGTTAAGTTGGTAGAGTGTTCATTGGTCTTAGATTATACAGTTTTGGGTATTTTGTAAATTACTTGCAAAAGTCAAACTAATTGTGGTTAGAATTTTTTAGGCAATCTCTATTTTATCTGGCATGGGATTGGAGGAAAGATTTGCAGAGCTACACGTCGATAAAGAAAAAGCTCCAGAGACATGGAGTATTTGCAAGCATGCCTTTTGTGATCTGACATGTATTTCTCCACTGGTGTTTTTGTACCTCCTGAAAGGATGTTATATTCATGGTATGAGTTTCCTTTCTCCACTGTAAATCTTAATCTGTTCAAACATGTGCTCTTGTGATGGGGAATAATAAATTGTTACCTAGCTATGGATTGCATTAGATATCAATCTGCAAAAATCCACAAACACGTGTATTTTCATGCAAGTGTCTTTAGATGTAAAAGAAGAAAAGTGCTAATGGACTTTCCAGTTCAGAGTTTGATTCTTAAGCTAGCTGGTTATATACTATCGTGTGTACTACTTACTAGGTGTACCATGTGATGTTCTGTTAGACTCCTATTCTCTATTAGTAGAATTGAGACATAATTTCTAGGAATACTATCGGAAGCTTGAATTGTATTAATGGCGGACGATTGGTTACAAGGGGGATAAGGGGATTTTCGAGAGATCCCTTGCTCTCCTAGGTTCCACTCTCGGAAGTATACAGATGATTCGATTCCCTTCTATTCCCCTTCCTACTCTATTTATACTACTAAGCCTTATTCTCCCTCGCTGATCCCAATGCTAACTAACTAGTAACTTCCTGCTGACTCAGCCACTTCCTAATTCCTCTTCCCGAGCTCCTCCCTCCACGTCAGCCTCCACTTGAGTTTCAGCTGCCAACCTTGGCTCGTGGTGGCGTTTCCTCCGAACATATGTAAAACGCAAGGGGGGCTTATCATGTTCATCCATTCAATGGCTAATCTTTGCCTAATATCACTGAGCTTCTGGGTAAATTTTTGGTAGAAAAACTTTTCTTCATGTTGTTAATTTTTATTTTTTTCATGTAAAATGTTAAATAGGGACATGTAAGGCGACCAAGAAGTTCCGAGCTCTTCAACAACAGGTCCATCTAGTATTACACAATAGCCCGCCGCATGGACCAGCTATATTTGTTGTTCAGTGCCTCTACCTCTTGCCCATGTTTGGATCATATTGTGACGGATTCAGTCATTTGATAATATCTGCTCTTCGTCGTTTTTTGAAAGTTGCAACCATATCTGATGAGGACTTGGCAGAAGCAAAAGATCTAGCTGCCCAGTTATTTCTTAATATTGTTAAGGGTTCTGTTAATCATGAGGAGGGGGTAGTCGTGAAGGTGCTTGAAGCCTTTAATGTTCAATTGACAAACATTGAGAAAGTAATGTGCCCATTGAAGGCAAAAGATAATTGTAGTATTGACACGGCAAAAACATTTGTCGAGCGATACATAATTGAATTGATAGAATGCCAGTCTTATATGACTGCAGTTACTCTCTTGGAGCACTTTTCAATCCGCCAGTCTGGCCAGTCTTTTCTTCTTAGTATGATGCAGATCAAACAATTCAAAGCAGCAGAAAAGTGGGCAACTTTCATGGGGAAGCCCTTGTTATGTGTTCTTGTCCAGGAGTATGCTAACAGGAACATGCTAAGCAATGCTTACCAGACTATAAAGAAAAACAATCTTCGGCAGGATTTTCCCGATATTTATCATAAATGCAAAGAGAGGTATGACCGCTGATTCATAATAACATCTGGTTCACGGATACTTGTTTTCAACATCTATATTATGCCGCTAATGCATGCATGTACATTCTACTTGTTAAGTTTCATATGCTCTATCCACGCTTTCCACAAGTCATCAGATGAGAATTGTCCACCTACTCGCAGCTCGCTAAAGAAATTGGTGGAAAAAGGATGCTGGGTTGTTGCAGAAGTCCAAACAAACAAGGACAGACAACTGCTTGAATATTTGGTTAGCAGCTTTTTACATTAATGGTCTCACGTTTATATATTTTAAGTGGACAACTGTAGTTGGATTGATGAAACATTGTTATTTTAAGTGACACTTAAAGGTTGCATTTTGGTTCTTATATTCACTTTTAATTCCTGGTTTTTCTCCGTGTAATTAGTTTCTTTCTTTTAGTTGTTGGAAAAAGGGACCTTTCGCATCTATAAATTGGCAGAAATATTTATTTCAGTGGATAATTTGGGTGATTATCTAAGCTTGCTTGATATTCAACCCAGCCTTAAAATTTTGGAAATGTACACAAACAGAAGCTACTAGCTAGTCGTGAATGATTAGTATTACTAGTTGTTAATGCTTTAATGCCAAATTGGATTTGGTAAGGGCTTCCAATTTGCTTGCGCTAGGCAGGCACAGGGAACTCGGTGACTAGTTTTTTGCTAATGATATTGGTGAGTAGTTATTTTAGTAAGGCCTCACTTATGAGGCACTTAGCTTACTTTACTTGTGCTCAGGCAAGGATACAGGGGAATCACCAGACCAGAACAGGTTTGGATTTAGGTTTCAAGTTCAGTGCATGGCTGTCCTTGCTTCTGAATGGGGCATTCTTCTTTTAAATGCATTTGTTTTTTACCTTTATAAATAAAATTGTCCTGTTGGCTTGTACCAGAAAAGAAAAAAAGTAAATTTGTATGTGCATATGTTCACATATATATATATATATGTATATATTTGTTGTATACCCTTGCTTTTTCACACCTATACGATTGTATCTTATTAATCAAGTTAGATTATTATTTCCAGAAAAAAAGGAAAACACTACATGATCAAGTTATTCTCTTTTTAAATGTTTTTAAGGTTTATTTGGCAATGGAAGCTGGTTACATGGAGAAGGTCGATGAACTTTGTGAGCGTTACTCGCTTGAAGGTTTTTTGAATGCCAAAAGTACGCCCTAACCTGATATTAATAGTCTCTTTTCGTTTGTTGTTACCATAATTGAAACCCAGAGCTCCAAAATGAATTTTCCTTGCCCACAACTTTTGGATGGTGCAATAGTCTACTTTGACATTTTATATGGTTTATATTTAGTCTCATCAACCTTTTATTTTTGCCTTCTTCAGGGAAAAAAAAAGGTTCCTTTTGCCTTTAGAACTCGAATCAACCCTTGCAAGTATTGGTTATCAGCTGGTGTGAAAGTCATGCTAACGGATACTAAACTAACTTGCAAAATTATAATTTGACACATTTCCTTGTTTACCTTTCTTTATGGGATCATTCTAATGGTTCTTCATATTACTTTAAACATCTCTTTCATGAAAAATATATTTGTTGCTATCACCAAAAAAAAAAAAAAAAGGGATAAAAATGAAGCAGATTAAAATTCAAACCTCTTGGTTATAAATCCTTGTATAATTTGCCGTCTTCAAATTCTCTCTTCTTTTTTATTCAGACCCTTGTTGTTTTTACGTGATGCACTGATATTTGATCCATGCCCTTGCACTTATCTTACATACATGCATATATGGATCTTGGCGCCCACCTTTTTGCTCTGTACTATACACCCTGTAATTTTTTGCTTTACAGCAATAAAAAAAAA